CGGGGGAGGGGGCAGTGGGGGAAGCTTGCCCGCACAACTCTGCGGCCGTGGGGGCGGTGCCCCACAACTTTTCATGAGGCCAGGAACCGTTGGGCAGCTTGTCCTCCCCAAATTAGGGGTTGTGGATCACAAAGGAAGAAAGCATGTAAGTAAAAAATCCACCTCTTTCACTGGCTCGGCAACTCATTTGGCAGATTAAAACCTTTACTCCAGGTTGCCAAAATGGTAGTTTCTTCACTCAGCTGAGACGGAATACCTCACTTTTTTGCTTTTTTTTCGCTTTTTGTTGTTGTTGTTGAAAATGCCAAAGTCTGAAAAATAAGTGGCCTAAAACCGGTGAGAAAACTAGATTTGGGGTACCCTAGGTTGATCTCCATTATGGTTCAGCCCCCCCCCCCCCAGTCTGGAAGAAGTTCCCGCGCCACTGTAAATCCTATAGGTAGGTACTTCTTCACCGCAACACAACGCCGCTTCGGGTATTCAATGAGAATGGCCTCTCCATGGGAATTTTTAAGGAGCCGTAAGCCATTTATCCACGATCGTATGTCTGTCACGGTCAGCACACACTGGTTCTTTAGATAGTCCTTTAGCTTGTTAACGGCAACATTTCGAGGAAGAGTTTAGCGGTCATATGCGAAAGCACAGGACAGCAAGCACGGAAAAACAATGTTATCTGACGCCAGAAGTATATTAAGTGTTGGGACTGCTCGGAAGAAGGCGTTTTAGCGCAGAGAGCAATCTAAAATGTGCACTGAACGTAACTCAATCACAGTTCACACTGAGAAGGGGAAGGGATGCCTCAGGCAGCATAACAGCGTGCAACGCTCTCCCGCCAGCAATGCTGCGTTTCCAGTGCCTAATTATACTTTCCACCCCAAACAGTGTTTGTCTGTGCGGCCACCACGTAGTCTTTTTGCCACCGATGCCTTTTCAAGTCACTCTGTGTGGATATGTGTGTGCGTGTTTACGTGCTTACCTGCCTGTTTGGACGTGCAAGGATGTTGCAGAGGGTCTGATCCACGTTTTAATTGACGATAAAAACTTAAGGCTATCCCTGAGTACATTTATGAAAGCCGAGGTCTTAGTCTGAGTCTGATTCGACAAATGGCTCTGTTACTGCCGGCGTGCCAACCGAGGACAGCACTGACAAATAGTAACACAGCACTGGCGGGCTGACGCGCCGCGCCAGCAGCGGGCTGAACTGTTTGCGTTTCTGAAAATTGGACTGTGGCGAGGACGGAGGCGGGGAGGGGGGGGGGTCCGCAGCCGGCTGAAGCGTGTGACTGACTGAGACTCCTTTCCAAAAATATGCTGGCCACAGGCCACAGGTCACAGGCCTTAATCAGTGAAATATCCAAAAGATATATTTGAAAAACGCTTAAACAATATAATTTAATTGGCTCAGCATATTTTTGGAAAGGAGGAAAGGTCATGATAATAAAGAAATACTTTTTTACATTCATTAACAGGTTACTATGACTAGAATGAGAGGGTTAGGGTATAGAGGCGGGTCACGTGCATACTTCATCACCGAATGATCCAACAGTCAAGTCAGTAGCTGAGTCAATCCCATCGAGATGAAAATATCCCAGTGAAACAGACCACACAGCCACTCAAACGGGCGATCACACAGGAGAGGCTGCAGCCGCCAGCCCGGACAGGGGATTAACCCGCGCCCTGGTGGGGGGGGGGCTATTTTTTGCCCCCCTCCAGACTTTTTGATATATCTCCAGAACCGCTGCGCCGATCGTCACCAAACTTTCAGTACCCTCCCGGACATCAATTTTACACATTGTGACCAAAAATTTTTCCAGAGGCTATGATAGGTTGGCCGGAAATGACGTCAGAGTGACGTCATGTTCTGCCGTTTTCGACCCAAAAAAGGGGTTTCGCGGGAAGAGCTGTCAGGCCTATAGCTTTGCAAATACAGAAAAATGATAAAGACATAAAAGCTGTAGAATCAACAGGGCTACAAAACTGCTATCTCGGATTTTTGAAATTTTTGGATTTTGACCCCAAAAAATCAAAAAATAAATTTTTTGCATATAATAATCGAAAAATCCAAGAAGTTTTTTGAATTTCGCAAAAACCGGAATATATGTGATAGTCCTTACCGCCTTCCATCCACATACCAAATTTGAGATCGATACCTCTTTTTTTGGCGAAGTTATAGCGAAAAAACTGTTCAAAATTGATGACGTCAAATTTTCAAACTCAATTTTTAGCAATTCTAGACCCCGTAGCGCAAAACAAAGACCACCATTAGACTCCCCGTGACGAGCTGCATCGAATCAATACCCATTTTATGCAAAACTATCAACTTTAAAATTTGACCTTTTTTGGCCTGACCTTGACCTGACCTTGACCTGAACTTCACCAGAAAGTGACCTAAGCCGTACCTGATAGTCTTATAACCAATACCATTGAGTTGGAAATGAAAAATTGGCCATAAAACATGCATCACACAACCTTAGTAAAGTTGGGCTCATGTGACCTGACCTGTGACCCTTGGTGACCTGACCTGTGACCTGACCTGGTATTGTCAGTGACCTCTAATAGTAATATATCTACTAGGCAACTGACGCCCTATCGCTGATTCTCGACAAAATGCGTTTTCCTCGGTGTTATAGCGCATTCCCTAGAAGACCCGTGAACGGTGAAACATTTCATCTTTGACCTGACCTGTGACGTCATCGGTGACCCTGAGGTCAATGAAGTTTGGTTTTCCTCGACAAATTTGACAGGCCTTTCGAACGCCGTTTGAATTTTGCGGATCCGTCCAGTAGTTTCGGAGATACGAGGGGGGGGGGGCAAAAAATAGCCCCCCCCCCCCACCAGGTCGCGTTATAAACAGACCCCACCAGGGCGCGGGTTAAAGACAATGATGCGGATTGCGGGTGGGTGGGTTCTAGGATATATGAGACGGATGGTTATTATCGTGATTACCAAGCATTTTCTCATAAAAATGCGTCAGCTATTTATGCCAAAGAAACGACGAATTTGAAACTTGCCATTTGCAGGCCTTCAGGATGTAATTAAAGTATCGGAACAGATATTTTTCACTATATCTGACATCTGTTCGCACAATTTCTTACTAGAGCGGGAAAATTGGATGAAAAGCACCTATGGCATCGGTCCGCAACTCAGGCAATAAAAGGTCCCACAACCTGATCGACCGCCAGCCGCCCTTTAACCCTATTCCTGGCGGGCTCCGCCGGGACAAGAAACTGGCGGGGGGGCCGATTCGGCCCCCCCCCCTGAGATCTCGAGAACGAAGCAAGATAGCGACAAGCGGTAAACGGCATCGGATACGCATGGACAAGGTCTACAATTTTTACTAAGGTCATTTTCAGGTCAGGTCAAAGATGACGTCACAGGGGTCGAAAAAGTCAAAATGGCGGCGCTAGATATGGAGAGAGTTTTTCTCGAATAACTTTCGAATTAGTCAAGATAGGAACAAACTAAGGGCATCATCGTGATCCTCTCGTCAATCCGCATCGAATGATATATATATGTTGACCTCGAAAGGTCAAGGTCAAAGGTTGACCTCAGGTCACGTGACCTCGAGGTCATCATGTATATCATTCGATGCGTCTTGACGAGCTGAACACAATGAGACCATCCTCGCGTCTGTATCTTGTTCCTGTACGGAGTTATTGGCCAAAAACCTTTGGTGACCTTTGATGACGTCACATGACCTCACAGCTGCCCAACAGCAAAACAGACCTCAAGGTAGTGAAGGTTGATCGTATATGAAGTCATGTATGGTATATGGGGCCATTCCGACCCGTTTTAGTGGTAAAAACAGGGAGTTGATTTTTCCCCCATTGACATAATGGGGAGGTCGCGAAACTGACCTGACCTTAGGTCACCGATATCAAAATTCCGAGATATACAAATTGCACATACTGGTACCCTAACTAAAGCCTGAAGAGAAGAAATTGATCGGTCAAAAACTCTAGCTCTGGCGTGATTGCAAACTTTTCTGAGGTAGGGTCACCAAACCGCCTCTGGTGACCTGACCTGAGGTCAGATCAACTCAAAATTTTCAGACATGTTGCGTAGAAGCCTTTTAGGAAAAGTCAGAAAATTTGAGCTTCCTAGCTCAACGCGTTTGGGAGAAATAACCAAAAAACCTCAGGGGGGCTCCTGAGGCCCCCCCCCCCCCGCCAGGAATAGGGTTAACTTGGTTCTGCTGCCCTTCAAGCTTAAAAAGACAACAAAACTCACTGGAAAACAACCGTTCCACCACCTTTAGCCTCACGCTAGAACACGTCAACTTGTCGGAGGAAGACATGGGTAGGGTGGTCTGGACGGGTGGGACGCCGTTCAAGTTTTAGCATCTTCTGAACCGCCAAAACGGCCGTGGTGTGGGCGGCCAGCAGCTCAGACGTGCCGGCCTTCACCAGCGTCAAACATCCAGCTATGATCCGGGCCTGGAGCATATCCAGCTGCTGTACGGTGTTCCCGCGTATTGAATACTGCTGCCTGATTCAAGCAAAGCTGTCTTCATGAGGGGCGGCGCGCCACCTCAAAGTCCCAAGAAGAATGAGAGGTGATGCCGAGAGGACCTCTTATCCTTCTGGGCTGACGGGCTAAGGCCTGGATATAGTCCCCATCCCAATGCCATCGAGATCTTATGGGCTATTGTCCAGCAGGAGGCGAATGAGAAGACACCCTCCACCAGCACCGCCCAACTGTAGCACAGGTTAGGACGGCGTTGGTCGACATCAAACCCAGTGTGCTGGAAACCCAGTGGCTGGAATGCTCCAGCCCATTTGTAGCTGTGTTCGTATGAAAAGCTGGCTATATCGTCAATTAGAAGGAAAAACTCCAGATTGTTTTACTTCTTAACACCAGCGGAGAGAAAGGTGTCCGGAAAATTTCGTTACACCCTGTATGCCTATTTCGAGCGTTTTTCCCGAGGCCCGAGGCACTTCCTACGCCCTTCCTCGTGAATTGGATCCACCAGTGAAATAAGGAATCAAGCACGTCAGGCTGGTTAATCAATAAAAAGTATTATCACGCTACCCATTCTCACTCGCTACACACGAATCAGTTGTCAGGGTAGTCAGAAGTCGCACAAAATAATAAACACGTCTTTAGTCAGCTGTCACCCTCGAGCAGCTCCGACTGCCTACCAGGGCTGGAGGCGACGAGGCCCCGCCCACACTGCACGGACGTCACAGCTCCCTGAACGGTGATTGGCCGCCCGCCCGTGGCGCAGGGAACAAGTGGTTGCTACCAGGACCAATTGTCCTCACTCTTGAACTTCCACTGCCACAAGAAGCTACGGTGACAGATCAGTGACAAGTATCTCCATCCTCATCGGCATACAACCGGCAGGCAAACCGGCGAACATAGCTCCCAACGTGTGCTTTCGGAAACAAGGTAGGCCAACGTGGGGAAATGGGGATCGAGGCTCGAGAGGCATCAGATGCCCCTGAATACGAGCATACATAAGTGAAGCAACAATCTCATTATCAAATTATTATCTAGTTATGACAGGATATCAATATCGTATGAAACAGAGCTCCACTCTCCTCTCTCTCTCTCTCTCTCTCTCTCTCTCTCTCTCTCTCTCTCTCTCTCTCTCTCTCTCTCTCTCTCTATCTCTCTCTATCTCTCTCTCTCTTTCTCTTTCTCTCTCTCTCACCCTCCCTCCCTCCCTCTCTCTCTCACTCTCAATCTCTCCCTATCTCTCTTTTCTCTACCCCTCTCTTCTCTCTCCCTCCTCATATTTAACACTTAAAAAATGGACTGTGGACACTCCACTGCCAACCGAATGCACACTTGTCATGTGCCTTATCTGCTTCATGTTATTTCTGTCACATGCATGCATTTCTTTGATACGTTGCCATCTCTAAAAACGAGTTTATCTACGAGTCGATAGGTATCTAGTAGGTAGACAAAATGTAGTAGATACTATCTACTACATTTCGTTTACGAATCTTCTCTTACTATCAATTATCTTATTCGCGTTAAACGGTGCGAAGGGTTGCCTATACCTATGTAAGTATTGGCTTCAAGGCCGGGCTTCATCATTTTACAAGTTAATAACATTCCAGTTTGACCTATCTCAGGTCCCTCAGGTCTTTCCAGTGGTCAGTGCCACCTTGAAGCCTGTCGTTTCGCAAGCATCACTCAGAAACTCGAAACGACAGGCTTCAAGGTGGCACTGACCACTGGAAAGAAGATAGGTGAGTTAACTCAAAAGAAAACTTCTAGAAATAGAGAACTTAGCGTAGTTTATCAGGTACCGTGTGGTAACTGCGACAAATCTTATATTGGAGAAACTGGTAGGGGAATCCAAACACGCTTAAAGGAGCACAAGCGAGACATACGAAACGACGCCGACCACAGTGCCTTTGTTGTTCACGCACATTCCACTAGTCATTTGCCAAATTGGGACGGGGCGAAAGTGTTAGCGAATTGTGGGAACAAGGGATGTCGGAGAGCGACCGAAGCGGCATTTACTACAACGAACGATACGATCAATACCAGGGTAGGGTTTATTAAGTGGGCAAAATCAGCAGCAGTGTTCAGCATTAAAAACTTGACTTAAAAAAACTTACCGTTCGAGTCGTTATAAGTGTGCTATTTTTATTCTCGTCGATGATTATGTAACAGTAGCTGTGTACCGACAAATAGTTTTTATCGAACACTGTAAAAAAAGTTTAGCATCATAGAGGTACTTTTCAATTGACTAATTTTCAGTACCCTAGCGGTGCTAAGCTAAGCATTTTATTCATACTTAACTGAGATCTAGTTTAGTATCAAGGTGCTAATATAAGTACCCATATTTGTTTAGCACCCGTGTACTAAATGTAGTACCCTACACCTGCTAGACCAATTTTCAGTACCCTAGCGGTGCTAAACTTTAAAAGGTGCTAAGAATAGCATGCAGTTAGTACCTTCCGTACTCACATATGAACCGTTTTAGCGCTATTGTTACCCAACGACAAGTAGAATAATGCTAACGAAAGCATTGGGGCTGAAAGTAGAATATCTATACTAGTTAAAGCTGCTGCATGAAAAGTTCGCAAAAACTGCTTTCTTTAGCAGCACATACTTTCACTAGTTACTGCAAAAAGGACTAATCAATTACCAAAAAGTTGTGTAAGGCCGAAAAGACGTGCAAAAAAGGTTATATCCTAGATAAGTGATAACTACAAGTCTCAATGACTGTGTTTTGCATTCTGCAATATTCCCGTGTAAGTGCATCTTTCAAGCATCCAACACATTATAAAATTAAAAAATAATAATGGAACATTTATTAACACTTCATATCATCTGCATGAAAAACAAATGTAAATATATACACAAACAAACGCACGGGAAATAACGAAAGGTCGCTCATATACCTGCACACTCGCAGTGACCGACGATTAACGCGAGATCGACTGGGGGAGGCGGGGGGGGGGGGTCGTTGAACCGACGTTCCGTTCATGGCCATAAGTTCGACCTCATCCACGACCAGACGGCGTTTAGTGATAGACGGAACCGGAGACCCCGTGTTGTTGTCGTAGTTGTCCTCCATTGTAAGTGGTAGTCGACGGAAGAACTGACCAGGCCCCATGCCTGGAGCAAAAAAAAAACTGAATCAGTTCCAAGATTTTTTTTTCTGTTGGGAGCTATTTTCGCAAACAACACAACTTTCCTTCAGACCAAGAAGCGCGATTTGCCAAAGTCGGAATATGAAGCACTTAAACAATATAAGATAATGTCAAAAGATACAACGTGTCAGACTCACCAAAGTCGATCAACGTCGGTGTCGGTGGCATGTGTCGGTGGCAAATGCTCATGTACCACCCGTCCCCGGAGCACTTCACTTCACTTCACTGCACTGCTGCACTGCACTTCCCTCCACCTCACTGCCTCCCGGAGCAGGGGCACGCACTCCCATGCCACGCACGACGGATTCCACCGATAATAGCTGATTTAAGCTATCATTCCAGAGCTATCACTCGGTGGCATGTGTGCCCGGAGCACTTCACTTCACTTCATTTCACTTCATATACCGGAGCACGTGCACACACTCCCACCACGACCAACGGACTCCACTAAAATGGCGCAACACGTGGCCGGAAACAGCTGGCACGCGCATGCGCATATCGCTCTGCGCCGTCAAAAGGTGCTAAAGGGCTGGTGATAAGACTCCCAGAGATTTGTAAAGCAGGGCTTAGCTACTTTCTTTGGCGCCAATTTCAAATTTGTTTCCTCTGTAAGCATGTCCGGTTCTATTGTGATACTAACGTAAGCACCATATTCAGCATTGCCAACTTCTAAAACACTTAAAATGGTTCTAATTAGAAATCCAGCTTGAAAGAGCACTCACTGATGGACTGGGTACTAGCAGAAGTAGACGTTAAGCTCAGTAGAAGAATAGATGATCTAAACTTATAATATTTGATGGGAATGTTAGCTATCATTAGCACAGTATTAGCACCATGCTTCTTTGTAAATACGTCGTAGGGTTCTTTTGACGCTAAAAGGTGCTACGAATAGCAGCCGTTAGTACCCCAAATGCTTAACTTTTTTTACAGTGAAGGTTATCATTTGTAGTAATGCGCATTCTTAGCATGCTGTATTTCAACAGAGTGTGAGACTGCTGTGCTAGTTTTATTCTTGTGTGTTTGTATTGTTTTAATTTCCGAGAGGGTGTCGAAAAAGTCATTTAGACGAAACGCGTCCACCCAATGTGCTGTGTAACCCGTCTCAATGTATATAACAGTTTTTGATTCCGATGAAAGTAAATTACTAATCGTTTATCCTTTACAATTACTACGTTTATCCTGTACCTACTTATGAAAATTCCGAAACCAAATATCCAGCAATTGCTGTAATTTATGCCGATTTTCTCACTTATTTGCCAAACTAGCACACTTGACACTGTTCTGGAACTATTCGCCGGACATAAATAATAATCATGAATGCAACTTTCCTAGCCACATAATGTCTTTAAACACTGTGGATTTCGTCAAAATCGTCACCTTAATCATGCCCTAGTCCTTATGTAAGTAATAGGTGTTGTCATTCAGTGTTTTGATTCCGATAAGCAAAACAATTAACATCCCGGTCAGGGTTGACGCAATGCACCCCTCTTTCACAAATATAAAAAGGCGTAAAATATGGCATACCTATGTGGGTTTCCTTTGATACACTCCTGAGGTCATTGGCCTGAGGTCATCTCCAGGTCATATACCTTTTGATATTCAGCCAATGATAATTTTCAAAAGAACTTAAGTTTAGAAAGGTTTAACCCGCGCCGTGCTGGGGGGGGGGCGTTTTCACGCCCCACCCCCTCAGGTTTCTCGCCAATATCGCGCCGCCGTTTTAGGTAGACCTGTTCATACATGTTTTCCGCACATGTGAAAATTTCAGACCCGGGTCTTTCAAGGTCAGGTCACCAGGTCACGTCAAGCGACCTTACCTCAGAAAAAGTTCAAAGGCTCGCTGTAGCTACACCAACTGAAAGATCACTTTGAAACTTTCAGCGATTGATAAGAGTAGCATTATATATAAAATGTTTATCTCCGATTTTTTATATCTGTGACCTAGGGTCAGGTCAATTTTGCGACCTCTCCATTGTAAGTCAATGGGAGCATATTGATTATTGAAATGCGCTTCTTTTGGACGAAAGTCGTTTTAAACCTTCTCAAACATCGGTTCATAGGAAAAAATGAGGAAAAATGCACCTGTGACCCCTCTGTGTGCCCCTGAGGTCATCTCAGGTCATGAAAGGTCACCAGCAGTTTTTTTTAATATAACTTTTGATAGAGACATGCTAGAGCGGTGAAAACACGTCAGAAGTGTTCAGCTCTACGATACGGATCGACTGATATGCAACATGACCCTTTCCGGTCAGGTCATGACCTTGGCCTGAAGGTCAAATTTTCAAAATGACCTTTCAATGTCAACTTATAGTTCACTCGACGCGTCTCGGCGAGAGGAACAACACGATGCTGGCAAAAGTAATGTCATCGCTCTCTTGAGTCAGAAGTTAGGTATTACCGAAATACAAGTTTCGCAAAAACTGCTATTTTTAGAGTTTTTGCCCTCCGGATGCTAAACCGTTGACCTGAAGTCAAATCAGAGGACAACGATCAGAAAGTTCTGTAAAAGGGCTATCGAGTGCACTTTTCCGCGGCGCTGTAGCTCTATTGGTTCCTGAGTTAACCGTCGGGTGTTTCGAAAATTGTTGAAACAGACAAAATTTGACCTTCGATGACTTCTGGTGACCTAACCTTTAACCTGACCATAAAAATGACTTAAGTATTTCTGCCATAATTTTTAACGCTCTTTTGATTGCCACTTACCGCGTGTCGCTGCGTGGCCTAGGAGCCAAGTAAGACGGCGGCGTGAAAACGCCCCCCCCCCCCTGGATGACACAGAAAACACAGGCCACCAGCATGGCAGCATGGCAATGGTTAAGACCAGGGATGCGGAGCCGTGGAAATTTCAGACGGCTCCGGCTCCGGCTCCGGAGAAAAAAAAAACGGCTCCGGCTCCGGCTCCGGCTCCGGGTGAAATGTCATGGCGGCTCCGGCTCCGGCTCCGAGTAAAATGATCCGGCTCCGGCGGCTCCGGCTCCGGCTTCTACTCAGTACATCCCTTATGCGATCAATTAAATACGGGTGGAAGAAAAAAGGCGATGGGATTGGTACACGTTGCTTCTGTATTTGTATAACAATGCTATTTTGAATACCACATTGTTTTACGCCTTGTACTGTCAAACCGAACTAGGTAAATAATTGTTTCCTCTTAAGAAAAGGAGCCGGAGTCGCCCCCTTTTTTGACGGCTCCGGCCCGGCTCCGGGCTATATTGTTTCACGGCTCCGGCTCCGGCTCCGGCTCCGGCTCCACATCCCTGGTTAAGACAGTCATTGGCAACCGTATTTCATCATTTTGTACTCCAATACCTCAGTCTTAATACCTACCAATGCTTGACTGCGGTTGTCGTTGTTTGGCTCAAGAAGCAATACTTACTGTCAATACTGTCAAGGATGAATAAAAACTCAATAATAAAAAGTCAATAATATCCCAGATCCACACTTAGCTACTCTTGAGGCGGGAGATGTGGTTTGATGATGGTCATTGATCAGGTCATGGGATGCGCCAACTAAGCTAAGTGGCCCAGGTGTCGTCCGATGCCCAAGGCTGTATCGATTTCTGTTGCACGCATGGGCTAACCGCTGAACATGCTCTTCGCTCTACTTATACCCGCCCTACCCTTTCACTTGACCCTCGCCGGCCGAGGGGGGGGGGGCGGGTGCCGCCCCCATAGGTTTTTTTCGCGATAGCTCCGAACACGCTGGCGATAGAGAGCTGAAACTTGGCATACCTGACCTTTGATTCAAGCCGGATCTTTTGATACCAACCGCATTTTCGGGTCAGGTCAGGTCACTGACCTATGACGTCATAAGTGAACCTCTGCACGGTCTTCAGATGTCGCAACTTCGTAACGCCCTCACTGCCAGAGGAGCTTTCACAGGGAAATGAAACTTGCAGGATCTAGTATCCATTAATTACGAGTCTCACAACTTGTATATCTCGGATTTTTCCTAAAGGTCATATGAGGTCAGGTCATTTTCGTGACCTCACCATTATAAGTCAATGGGGAAAATGAAAACTGCTATTCTGGCGCCGGGAACGATCTCCAACTATCTAAAGCACACAGAATCGTGATTTGATGCACTCCTTGCAAGGTTAGATGCGTCACTTTTGCCATGTTGACCTTGCGTGACGTCATTTATGACGTCATCAAGGTCACATTAGTTTTTCGTCAATTAATCGACAAATTTCGACAATTAACCTTAATCATGCCCTAGTCCTTATGTAAGTAATAGGTGTTGTCATTCAGTGTTTTGATTCCGATAAGCAAAACAATTAACATCCCGGTCAGGGTTGACGCAATGCACCCCTCTTTCACAAATATAAAAAGGCGTAAAATATGGCATACCTATGTGGGTTTCCTTTGATACACTCCTGAGGTCATTGGCCTGAGGTCATCTCCAGGTCATACCTTTTGATATTCAGCCAATGATAATTTTCAAAAGAACTTAAGTTTAGAAAGGTTTAATCCGCGCCGTGCTGGGGGGGGGGGGGGCGTTTTCACGCCCCACCCCCTCAGGTTTTTCGCCAATATCGCGCCGCCGTTTTAGGTAGACCTGTTCATACATGTTTTCCGCACATGTGAAAATTTCACACCCGGGTCTTTCAAGGTCAGGTCACCAGGTCATGTCAAGCGAACTTACCTCAGAAAAAGTTCAAAGGCTCGCTGTAGCTACACCAACTGAAAGGTCACTTTGAAACTTTTAGCGATTGATAAGAGTAGCATTATATATAAAATGTTTATCTCCGATTTTTTATATCTGTGACCTAGGGTCAGGTCAATTTTGCGACCTCTCCATTGTAAGTCAATGGGAGCATATTGATTATTGAAATGCGCTTCTTTTGGACGAAAGTCGTTTTAAACCTTCTCAAACATCGGTTCATAGGAAAAAAATGAGGAAAAATGCACCTGTGACCCCTCTGTGTGCCCCTGAGGTCATCTCAGGTCATGAAAGGTCACCAGCAGTTTTTTTAATATAACTTTTGATAGAGACATGCTAGAGCGGTGAAAACACGTCAGAAGTGTTCAGCTCTACGATATGGATCGACTGATATGCAACATGACCCTTTCCGGTCAGGTCATGACCTTGGCCTGAAGGTCAAATTTTCAAAATGACCTTTCAATGTCAACTTATAGTTCACTCGACGCGTCTCGGCGAGAGGAACAACACGATGCTGGCAAAAGTAATGTCGTCGCTCTCTTGAGTCAGAAGTTATTACCGAAAAACAAGTTTCGCAAAAACTGCTATTTTTAGAGTTTTTGCCCTCCGGATGCTAAACCGTTGACCTGAAGTCAAATCAGAGGACAACGATCAGAAAGTTCTGTAAAAGGGCTATCGAGTGCACTTTTCCGCGGCGCTGTAGCTCTACTGGTTCCTGAGTTAGCCGTCGGGTGTTTCGAAAATTGTTGAAACAGACAAAATTTGACCTTCGATGACTTCTGGTGACCTAACCTTTAACCTGACCATAAAAATGACTAAAGTATTTCTGTCATAATTTGTAACGCTCTTTCGATTGCCACTTACCGCGTGTCGCTGCGTGGCCTAGGAGCCAAGTAAGACGGCGGCGTGAAAACGCCCCCCCCCCCCCCCCCTGGATGACACAGAAAACACAGGCCACCAGCATGGCAGCATGGCAATGGTTAAGACCAGGGATGCGGAGCCGTGGAAATTTCAGACGGCTCCGGCTCCGGCTCCGGAGAAAAAAATCGGCTCCGGCTCCGGCTCCGGCTCCGGCTCCGACTCCGGGTGAAATGTCATGGCGGCTCCGGCTCCGGCTCCGGCTCCGAGTAAAATGATCCGGCTCCGGCGGCTCCGGCTCCGGCTTCTACTCAGTACATCCCCTATGCGATCAATTAAATACGGGTGGAAGAAAAAAGGCGATGGGATTGGTACACGTTGCTTCTGTATTTGTATAACAATGCTATTTTGAATACCACATTGTTTTACGCCTTGTACTGTCAAACCGAACTAGGTAAATAATTGTTTCCTCTTAAGAAAAGGAGCCGGAGTCGCCCCCTTTTTTGACGGCTCCGGCCCGGCTCCGGGCTATATTGTTTCACGGCTCCGGCTCCGGCTCCGGCTCCGGCTCCGCATCCCTGGTTAAGACAGTCATTGGCAACCGTATTTCATCATTTTGTACTCCAATGCCTCAGTCTTACCTAATACCTACCAATGCTTGACTGCGGTTGTCGTTGTTTGGCTCAAGAAGCAATACTTACTGTCAATACTGTCAAGGATGAATAAAAACTCAATAATAAAAACTCAATAATATCCCAGATCCACACTTAGTCGATATGTATCATGCGACATAAGATAGGGGTTAAGTAAAGTAATGATTGCCACAATTCGTCCCTGTTGCAAAATAATTGATGCTTATGGGGTTACGATGACACTAATCTTGAGGCGGGAGATGTGGTTTGATGATGGTAATTGATCAGGAAATGGGGTGCGCCAACTAAGCTAAGTGGCCCAGGTGTCGTCCGATGCCCAAGGCTGTATCGATTTCTGTCGCACGCATGAGCTAGCCGCTGAACGTGCTCTTCGCTCTACTCTGACCCGTCCTACCCTTTCACTTGACCCATGAGCCTGAGTTGTCACATAGCCCTCAACATCTGTTGAATGTACTAAAGTCGTGCACTAAATGCTCACGAGGCTCCCAACCATGTCCTGACGAGGTCTGCGCTCCGCAGGTGGCGCCATGCACCTGGAGCACGACCCGAGCGGTGACCTGATGGGCCAGCAGCAGCTGTCCCCGGCGCTGGCCACCAGTTTCTCTCTGCCGGAGGACGCGGCGTCGCTGCTGGGCGCGCTGCTGCACCCGGACGGCTGGCCGCCGCCGGAGCTGGCGGCCGCCCAGCGGCGCGCCAGCAGCCAGGCGGGCTCGCTCAGCCCGCTGGCGCTCAGCCCGCGCACATCGCTCGAGCTCGGCCTGCGCGCCAAGCGGCCCCTCTCGGCGTCTCCGTTCCCGCTGGAGGCTGTGGACGGCCCGATCCGCGGACCGGCCAACTCTCTGCAGGTCGAGCCGGCCCCCGGTGTTGGAGGTAACTACGGTCACGCGCTGCGGCCGGCCGGCGGCCAGCTGCCGCCCTTCCAGTCTCTGCGGCCCGCGGAGGCGGCCGGCTGGCCCTCAGAGGCGGCGCACAACAACTACATGGTACTGCCGCAGAGCCAGTCGCACCTGCTCAAACAGGAACCGGTGGAGCACGGGCAGCTGCTGCGCCCGGAGCCGATCGGTCAGACCCAGATACTGCGACAGGAGCCGCTGGGGCAGACCCAGATACTGCGACAGGAGCCGGTCGGCCAGACCCAGCTGCTCAGACAGGAGCCGGTCGGCCAGGCGCAGCAGCCGCCCCGATACGAACTGTGCACCGGCCAGGGGCGCGACTCGCCGCTGCAGGACCGTCCGTTCAGGCAGTACTCTGCCGAGCTGGCCGGCTGCACCTTCAAACAGGAGGTCGAGTCGAGCCAGTCGCCGTTCCCCGGTAGTTACGGCAGCGGCGCGGCGCTGGAGCCGGCGTCCACCAGGGCTCAGTCTCCGCCGACCGCCGGTCCTCTGCCGTGTCTGTGGGCCGGCTGCGCACTCCAGTACGACCGGCAGACGGCGCTGGTCAAGCACATCGAGAAGGTGCACGTGGACAGCCGCGGCTGCGACGAGTACACCTGCTACTGGGCAGAGTGTCCGCGGCAGCAGAAGCCGTTCAACGCGCGCTACAAGCTCATGATCCACATGCGCGTCCACTCCGGGGAGAAGCCCAACCTCTGCACGGTAAGAAAACGGCGAGAAATGCATGGAGGGTTGAGAAAAAAAACATGTACAGCAGTGGGTGGAAAGATGGAAAGGAGTAAGGGACACAGAAACTCAGTCTGGTGCTATCCGTGTGCTGCTCTCGCAGTAAACCCGTCTTGAGTTGTCGGCTGCGGTGTAGCGTCTGCCGCCCCCATTAGCCCTGTGTTACCATCTGCAGCCGACACATACGTCTCATTAATTCAACCAAATTTGCGCGCGTACAGCACGGTTGAAAAACGGCTCGCGGGGCGAGGCGCCTCTGGAAGAACGTTGACACATGTGTCGAGACGTCTGAGGCGGCCAGTCCGGGGCGGGCGGCTCAAAGACCGCTTCACGCGCCCAGAACAGAAACGAAAACAATGTGAGACACGGCGGCCGAGTGCGAGCGTGTCGCCGCCGGCGGTAGGGGCCGAGGGAGGCTTTTTGCCGGAGCGCACCCGTGGCGGCGTAGTGACACATTTAATGGTGCTATTCATTACAGTGAAAACGCCCTGTCGGCTGCCACAGATGCGTCCAGAGAGAGCTCCAGTGGCGCTCCTGAATAGAATAGATAACCCATAGAAGATGTAAATTAATTTCGCATGTAATGTTAACTTCTACTGTATTAATTAATGGGAGGGATCAGGACACGTTCCGTGAAACGTGTCCACTTAATTAGCGATGGTTCCAGTCAGGGTTCATAAGCTATAAGGGAAAATAAAATGGGACAAGGTTTGGCAACTTCACAAATGTCAGGATGTGATAAAAATTAATCAAGAACGTATCAAGACCAAGATGTTTTTTTCTCAAAGTATTTATACTTGGATCTAAATTTCAGAAGTTTCATTACTCAAAGTAGAGTTCAAAAGTTTGGTGAAGGAAGCATCCCTGAAATCGGACCATGGCCTCTTTACTCGCTCATTCGAAACAGTTTTTGACATCCAAAATTCAGCAATACAAACCTGCCCCGTGTTGTGCATGCGTACTCAGGTCTTTCACTTCTAGAGCTCCAACCGGCTATGGTATCTACAATGACTGCTCGGGTGCTGGCCAGATCCACTGGCTACAACATGTGGTCTTATGACTATGATTTATACGGGTCATTTGTTCCCTAACCAGTTACCAAACCCTAGGTAGGTCACAACACGTGGTCCCCATGTAACCTGAGCCGCGCATGCAAAAAGGTGTCCCTTCCACTATCAGTAGCGTCGTCGACTGTGATTCGGGTTCAATTAAAAGTTCACTGATTTATTGTTTTGCGCTGTTTGTTCTTACTTTTTTTCTTTAATTAATCGACAAATATATTGTCAACTTCGAAACGAGTAAAGCCTTTGCTTGTGCATTTGCCAGCAGTGCATTTGCCAGCAGTTGCTTTCTCATTGTAGCTTGTGGCTGTCCCGTTATTAGTTGTATGACTAACGAAGACATTCTTTTCGCAGTACGAGGGCTGTAATAAGGCATTTTCCCGGCGTGAGAATCTGAAGATTCATCTTCGATCGCATACTGGGGAGAGGCCTTATAACTGCGAGTTTCCCGGATGTCCGAAGGCCTTCTCAAACAGTTCGGACCGAGCCAAACACCAGAGGACGCACAAAGACGCTGTAAGTACTCGACTACCATACAAATAAGGTGCTTGCAGTAAATAAGTGATGTGTTCCGGCCCCGGGCTATTTCCAATGTGCAATGTGCACTGTAGTCTGTACAATGTGCAATGCATCCAATAATAAATTCTAGGCCAGCACTTTGTCGTGCAAGATCATCTTCCAGTCGCAACTTTCATTGCAACCTCGTCCTGAATCTTCACTTGAAATTCATTCGTCTTCTTTCCCAGCTCCCTGCCGTCTCTCCTCTGCTGTCGTAGTTTTCCTTCCGTCTCCGGTAGCTCCCATTTTTACCTAGTCTTCGGTGGCTCCTCAGTTATTTTCCGAGCGTTTCCCACCTCTCGGTGGACTTCCTAGTACTCCCCGCCACTCCCCGGCCGTTCTTCCGTTACCGTCCGGGCGTCTCTGCAGCGGCAGGATCCGGTCCGGTCCGGACGGAACACACATGGTGACGCCGGAAATCGGCACGGCGTCTGTCCGCCGCGAAATCCCCATTCCCCACCCAGTTCCGCCGCCGATAGCAGGACGGGCTGATTCATAGTCACGCCATCGACACCGGATACGTGAAACCAGTTCGGTACAAATTTGAATGGAAAATGTTTTGTGGTACATGTCAGCCAGCTGCAGGCTTCCGGTTTCGCTGAGACACCGAATCACTCCGGCTTATATCTATTTTTCGAGTCGCCCTGCAAATGACCTCGCAATGTGAGCACCTGCATACCCAAACTGTCCTATTCGAACATTTTGGTGGGATCCTATATTTAATCACACAAAACTAACACATTTGGTTGAGATATCCCTATCCGAGCGGCATGGGTACGCCTTCGGCTCGTTCTATCTCAAGGAAGTTCCGGCGTTGGCCCCGGCGCGCGCTCGTCTCGCCCGCTCCGTGCACGGTCTCTGTGTACTTTGTTAGTCAGCCACGGCAGCGGACGGGCAGCAGATGTGCCGTACCGCGGCCCGGTTACATGGGTGACCCGGCGCGGCGCCGCGGCACACGCCGGCCGCTGACGAAACAACCGCTGAACTCCGCGAGGCCATGCAGAACATTGCCGGGTTCGGAGGGTGGTGAACCAAATTTCTAATGTTGCGACGAGAAGTAGTGTAGTCATAATAACATGCTTTATCCAAGATGGAATTGGTTACTTTCAACTGGCGCAAAAGGGACCAAAGGTATGGACTCAATCAGGCGAATGCGAAACGTGCAAACGATGGAGCGCAAAAGCCCCTATGAGTAAACTATTCCACTACGAGCAGATGAGGATAATTATCGCGACATTCGGAGAACCCAGCGCAAGAATCTCCCACCACCGACCTTCAGTCGGCGGTCCGGCGGCCCCTGACGGTCGACGGACCGCGCCGACCATCCCGTCGTCGCCGCAGCGCGCCCCGTCGGACCTTGGTCGGCGTGGGAATGTTTGTGGTGCGGCCGGCCGGCGGCTCCGGTGGCGGTCGGTGCAGCGCCGCCGCCGCGCCGGCCACATGGGCGCCACGCGCACCGCCGCGCGGCACCGACGATGCCGACAGGGCAGACGGGGCCGACGGACGTGCGTGAGGCGAGATATAACCTGCCTTCTGCGCTCCACAGGATGATACGGATAGACCTTTCAATACGATCGAAGACCTCAAGATACAGAGGTCTATGGCAGGACATGACATATAACCTGCGCTGTGTCCTGGACTCCCGAGTTCTCAGCGGTCGATGTATATAGGCATAAGTTTGCTCACGTGACCCCTCCGTCTGTTTCAGAAGCCGTACATGTGCCAGGTTCCCGGGTGCAATAAGCGCTACACGGACCCCTCGTCGCTGAGAAAACACATCAAGAACCACACGGCGGCCGAACAGTCGGTCTCACGGCAAAAGGTAAATGGCTTTACAATGGATTTTGCATTCCCTCTCTCAGCTCTGTTGTTCTTGAGAATGTCATTGAAGGGGTCTTTAAAAAGGTATGTTGCCAGTCGGCTGACCGTGATCTGCGCTCAGTTCCAGGTGGAGCTGGCAGACATTGTCAGTTACGACGGCCCTCCGGAGCAGTGGTACGGCACTGAGCCTCAGCACCAGCACCAGCACCAGCCTCAGCACCACCAGCAGCTTCAGCACCAGCCTCAGCACCAGGCTCAGCTGTCCGAACAGCAGCAGGGTGAGTTGTGAGATGCGGGCACCCGACGGAAGCACATCCAAAATTGAGGATCAACTTCTGATCTTTTGTAGCGATTTACGCTGAACCTAGCAATCACGCGTGATTTTTTATCATGAAACCGTTTCAATTGAATGAGCGGCGTGCCGCCGTTCGCCCGCTCCACAAACCGACCACCGAACTAACATAGCGCCCATTTGCGTCTACAGGAGACTGGCGCTGTCAACCACAAGTGGGCGCCGCTGCCGGCACTGCCGCCTGGTGGTGGGACGCCGCACTAACTGACGCCCTGGAAGGTGAGCTCGAACACCAGGTGGCACGGGTGGCCTCAGCGCAATTTTATGGCATTTAACGTCTTGGTTGGCTCGAGTAGCGTAAAAGGGATGTCACTTATTGGGTAAGCCGGTGCCATTCCATTCCAAACCGTCAAAAAATTCGCCCGTATCCAACGTCCCTGAAGAACAAGTAGTGTCGAGAGGCAGCATTCCGCAGATCCAGTACCTCCCAAGCCATCATTGCTAACTGGCACTCGAGCCCCCGGGAAGGGTCGGGAGTCTCGGTGCCGTCTCGGTGCTCGCTCATCGTCAGCTCAATATGACAGAAACAAAGTGGAGGGGAGGGGCAGCAGGTGGCCCTTTAATGCCCGATTTAGCTCGGACAGGGGCCACCGCGGAGCGCCGCTGGCAGGGCGCCTCTCGGCGGGTGGCCGGCCCGCTCGGCGTCTGTTTACCTACCCGCACGTGCCGCGCAGACAGCTCGCTCCGCCGGCGACCACCGCTGAGATACGAGCGTCACGTCATCGGTGACTAGTCTGCCGGGTCAGCTCCGACCTCAGACAGGCCATTTAACGGCGACTGACGGTCCTCCCTGTCCAGTTCCAGAGCTGCTGAACTTCCCCACCGACCAGACCGTGCTTCAGTGAGGTGGCAGCGCCGGCGGTCGCTTCAAGCTGGGTCACGGATCACCGCTGGCCAAAACCAGCTTCAAGTTGGACCAAGGAGCGCCCGAGCCGATTCGAGCCGGGCGAGGCTCTATGCTCCTAACATAGACGGTTGTTAGCCGAGTGCTACAAATGCCTCGCGAATGCGAGTTGGTTGGTCGTCATAGGCCGACCAAAAAATAGGCCAGTTGTGTGAGCTTATTCGACCATTAAGTACTGCAATGCGTTCATCCATAACTTGTACAAAGGTGTGTTTACAAGCGGTGATCTCTAAGAAGGGACCAAGTTGGAATTCCGTGTATTTAAGAGTGTGTAGTTTGCCGCTGATATTTCAAGGAAGCTGTGGTGTTCACGTTCCGTCTTTGTGTTGCCACCATGGCTATGTTTGGTGTTGTAATGCTAGCGGCTACTGGCGCGTTTCGTGAAAGCTCTTCGAAATGTGCGTACCTAGATGTCCATTTGGAGATTCTCCATGAGTGCAGCCGTAATGGCAAGCTCTTTAGTGCCGGTTTAAACTCAGGCCTGCTTTTCAAGTACAACTGAAAACTTAAAAGCCAGTAGCCGCTAGTGCCAACGCGGCGAAAAGGCCGATGCTTCGATGTTGTGTATGCTTGTAAAGGTAAGATATATTGCCCACGAGGCAGCCATGTTTGAAAGGGAGGCCTACTACGACCAATCTGCGGTGTGGCAAGAATAGGAGCCACCACGTATTTCATAGGCAATAACGGTAGGTGGCGCTGGTGTACAGCGCTGCAGCAGGGATCGCGGAGGGGCCGCCCGAATGAGCCAGGGACGGGACTGCGGTCGCCGCGCTGTCTTTCACAAGACAATGACCGGGCATTTAGCAGACATTCGACGTTGTGCAGGCGGGCGTTTTAGTGCAGATGTTGTCTATGTGCGGGCGGGTGTGTGTGGGACCAGAACGCTGCCGCAGTCTTTCATTGTGCCTTTGCTGTCTGTGCGACAGCCCAGCGTGAGCCGCTGTTCCACTCGCATGCTAGCCCCGACTGTAAATACAACTCGGCCGATGAGAAAAATCACTGTGTATTTCACCCCGATCAGAATCTCTAGCGGTACAGACCAAGCGGATTCACACGCGCATATGATTGATTGAAGCAGGGAGCACCACTGGTAGCGGTCCCTAGCGGCGGCCCACAGAAGCTCAGCCGCCGTGGAGCCACAGAGCAGTCTCCAAGGCTAGGGTGAGCACGCCGCTCGTCCTCGCCCCAAACACACAGCAACGTGCACCAGATCGTGGGTGCACCACGGTCGCGACAATGCAAAGATACTGATTACCCTGATTAGATAAATCTTACAAATGCATGAACAATGCAGACACAATAACATCAAGCGCATACAAAAGTAAATTAATAAGAAGCACTAAGCACGCACACATATGTAAATCAATTGTATAAAGGAATGCATACGAGGGAATCAAATAATACAGTAGTTTCTGCCGCTTTGGCAGGCTGTTTCAAGCGGAAAAAACTCAAGTATCGCTGTAAAGACGGATATCGCAAGCGGGCCAAAGCTGGTTTCATGTCGGTATGTGTTCAGTACGAATGAACTCAATTAAAACGCGATAAAAAAGCAATAGAAATGCACGATTATATAAAAAATCGAACCACATGTAGCTGCGACGAACATAAAGCAGCTGCCACACTAACACAGAACTACAACTGACCAGAAAAACTATCGAAAATTTATCAGGAAAATGCGACCAACACTAGTACGTCGAAATCTAAATCACAAAGAGATTATGACTAAAACAAAATTAACATTCTCTCTTTTCAAATGTGTAAACAAAAATGAAATCTGCTCATGGTCCGATGAATGGAGCACACACTGAACACAACAAAATTGCCTTATAGCCAAAACGGCTAACCGAGCAGTTGTAAGCATGGTCGTTTAAATCGGTTAAAGTTTTGTGCATTATGAACACATGATGGGCGGTCTCCGGGTTTAAGTGACTGACTTCATGCCTAGAGACCTTCGCTCTGTCATGTGACTCGAGACAGACTGACCCACAGTGAGTGTTTTTTAAGCTTCAGAGGCGCTTCCAGTAATTGTGACTGGTCATATCGAACGACAAAATTCACTGGTGACACTAGGCGTTACCGGGAGGCATCAAACACTTCAAAAGAGAGAGGGAATAAACTAACAACGACAGAAGTCATGACAACGTTTAACGCGCCATTAATGAAGTCCGCGATTCCCGCCAATCGTTAGTAAATAAATGCAGCACCAAGCTCAATCACTGTCATCACTAAGCTTCACAATCACAAAGTCCTGGCAGCGGCTGTGTGCGCGGCAATGGCAGCTTTTTAGGCCAGCTACTGTCATAAAGCCAAAGCACAGGTGTCTGGTCGCACGCTAAGCGAGCTGACCATCCGCCATCACTTCGATCAAAAACGCCAGCCACCGCACCCAGCATCGCGCCGCGCTGGGCCGGCACAGAGACCACCAAAAATACTCTGGCACTTGTGGACGCGTCATTTACACTGCTCACTCAATTAGGACGCAAAAGTGATTTGTACGAAAGCTCATTACGAACGCTGGAAGCCCGCCGAGGGGGACGTCGCCAGCCTGCGACAGAGGCGTCTAACGGTCGCAGCTGATGCGACAGACGTCAGCCAGCCGCCACAGCGACAGTCACGGCCGTCAACTACGAGTGCGTCACGCCATACCGAGCCACCAACAGGTTCAGTGTCTTCCCCTTCTTGATGTAGTTGATGGCCTGTTTGTGCGTGACCATGGTGAAATCGTAGCCCTGACACTGAAAATAGAGTCCAGTGTGCGTGACGGGGAAAGTGGCGGCCTTCCTGAAAGTTGGCATGATTAAGAAAATCGTCCCATCAATGAAAATCGGTTAAAATGGCGTGTCAGATTTTAATGTATCGCAGCTGGGTAAAATGCTACAAAAACATAAACACAAGGCATATCCTTGCTCCTTATGCTGCTTTTCTGTGTTCCTCCCCAAGCAGCATCTCATTGTCATGCTCGGAGCTTCGCAACTAATGAGCATCCAACCTAATTGCAGCAATATACAGCATAAGTATGAAGAGGATCTCCAACAATTTCCTCGGATCCCTTGTCAATCGAATTCAATCGAATTAATTACCGTATTCAACGAAATAACTAGCACTTTTTGGGTGTTGAAAAATAATTGCTTCACGACATAACAAGCAGACGTTTGTACCTAATCACAAACTGAGAAATAGTTAGAAAGCTCAACACCGCACGAAACAGCAACAGCCCATGGTACCTAAAATTTCTCCGAAAAAAAAAAAAACTGCCGGATTAGACCTCAGGGGTAGACCCCAACGAAATGTACACTATCATAAGATGCAATTCAAATTGCAGTATAAATGTACCGTTTCACTATCAGCAACTTGAGACCCATGGCTCCGAACCCAACCCATTAGGGGCAGACCAACACCGACTGGTGGTTCAGCGCTGCGTGCGAGCCGGCTGGCAACGGTACTTTGACCGGTATCGAACCGATTGCCGCTTATCTCAGTACAAAGGACAACGGCTGGCGACAGAGGCGGAGTGGAGCTTACCTGCAGTATTTTGTCGTTCACCTTCAGGCCCGCCTTCTCTGCCGGACTTTCGGGGTGCACCTCCGTGACGTAAATACCCTGCGGAAAAATGCCCTCATCAACTTACAGGGCGTCATGAAATGAAATGCCGAAAGTCCGATGCCAAAATGTCGAATCCACTGGTTTATCTGTTATGATTAGACAAACACTTTGTACTTTGTCGTGAAACTCGCATAGTAGTTTCATTTAGAAATTAACTTGTTAACAGTTTATACTGGCTTTGTACCCACACCTGTAGAATGGCCATATAGACGATTAAATGACGGTAAAATCACGGTTACATAAATTTAAAACAAGCTGTGTAAAATACGTACGTTGTCTGTATAGCCCTGCGGAGACTTGGTGTAGTCCAAATCGATCCCTCCTCCGATCTTAAAGCCGCATTTGTACACTTCTTCCCCCTCCGAGTTGATGTGCACAAACTCCTTGTGCAGCATAATCGGAATCTGAAAATAAAGTGGAGTGAAATGGTCAGAGTCACTCAGAAGATATCCTTTCATGAAACAGAACAATGCTACAGCACTAAAAGTACCTATTCATAACACCATTCTGCGATGAACAAAGTCAAAATGAACTTCTATTCAGAGCATTATCAGTCCAATGGTTTTCGGTGACCCGGTAAAGCGACATCCGGACTCAATAGGAAGTTTTCGCAAACTGAAGAGTGAAGAAGCATCACATGAACAGGTCGTCACCGGCTGGTGGCTATCGGCGATACAATGAGATCGCATCAACATAGCAGAGCTACCAAATACCAGCTTTCTCCAGCCTCGGCATAAGTAGCAGAATACCATATGTAGGTAACCCCATGACTTCAAGCCGACATTCTCAGACTCAGAAGTGAAAGTCATATCATCAGTTGTCAAACTTATACATTGAAAGACTCCTATATATGAATGATAGTATGATGTACATTTGTGAGAGAAACAGCCCCACTCTTTATTTTTGTAAATAATTTGTCAACCGTATAGACATACAGGGTGTCTCAAAAGTTTGTTGACACATTTCTCATGCCAATAAAGCGTATAAGAACCGGCCAAAAATCTAAGGTTTTGGTGTCTGTGTGTAAACTAGACAAATACAGGGTGTCTCAAAAGTTCGTTGACAGGTACCGGCCATGCTTTTTTGTCAATAATTCTGAATCAACGAGAAATTAACAGTCGAAATTTTGCATGGGCATTGGTAACAGCCTTCCCCCAGCAGTCGCATTGTTTTCAAGCGCATTCGACCCTTCATGAGCTCACAAAAAGGGTTCACCTCTGACCATGGGTCAGGCATGAAAATGGAGGTCGCAAAATCGGGTCGGCTGAGAAACTATCTGATTCAGGAGTAATGGGAATGGTTAAGTCGGAAATGACACATGGCAAAGTGTCGGCGAGGATGAGTACAACATGATGATCATCAAAAACGGTGGCCAAAATTTGTGAAGGACGAAAACATGCGAGACTAACAGTGTTTTGAACGACCTTCGTACGGCAGCAGACTCGTTCTTCGGAAAGCAGCTGAAAATGCGGTCATAACTTTTGAAAACTGACCAGAAGCTCACAGACAGAGGTTACCCAGTTTCAAAAATTGCAGGTCATCATAATATAAAGACAAAGAATCATTTTGAAATTGTTTATAATATCTATAACGCTAAATTTTTGGGGAAAATAACACGAAAATCGTCAATGCCAAGGCAACTGACCCTCCAAAAGTGTCATTTAATGTACAGTTTTATCTTACGAAGCATCAAGAGGCAGATCTGGAGCAAATGGCTTTCTTTTAGATACAAAATCCCAACAAAACCGCACGATGGACAGGTTTTGGCCGTTTACAAAGCAGAACCTCTCCTGAGGAAAACACTCCGCAACCCAGCGAAGGTCTCGGCATGGGGAATGAAGACCGTTTGGGATTTGCAAAATTTGCAAATGTGTCTAAGAAACAGATGGCCGACGCATTCTGATACGATATGCTGCGAAAAATTTGCCCCTGGCCCTTCCCATTTGTTCAGGAATGGGGTTGTTTTGAACAGGAAAATGGTGCTTGGGAGGTCGGCGGCAGTCATTCATGAAGGAGTTAGCGCCAGAGAAAACCTACAAAATACTCACGGATGGTGTCGATGCAAGCTGTCGGCTTTCAGGGAGAAGCGGATGTTGCCGGGGAGCTCGTCAAACCTAAATTCGACGCAGAAACTGCAGGGGATTCCCCTACAAGAGCTTGAAAGCTGGTAACCTTTTTTCAGCCTCCGGCAGCTGACGGAGCGACGAAAATCGGTATGGGCAAATATTTTTGGAGATGCAGCAAAGGTTTTGGTTTCCAACCTTCCTAATCAGTTGTCAATGCATGCATATTTGTCTATTGTACACACAGACACCAAAATCTTAGATTTTTGGCCGGTTCTTATATGCTTTATTGGAATGAGCAATGTGTAAACGAACTTTTGAGACACCCTGTATGCATGCATTGACAACTGATTCGGAAGGTTGGAAACCAAAACCTTTGCTGTATCTCCAAAAATATTTGCCCATACCGATTTTCGTCGCTCCGTCAGCTGCCGGAGGCTGAAAAAAGGTTACCAGCTTTCAAGCTCTTGTAGGAGAATCCCCTGCAGTTTCTGCGTCGAATTTAGGTTTGACGAGCTCCCCGGCAACATCCGCTTCTCCCTGAAAGCCGACAGCTTGCATCGACATCATCCGTGAGTATTTTGTAGGTCTTCTCTGACGCAAACTCCTTCATGAATGACTGGCGCCAACCTCCCAAGCACCATTTTCCTTTTCAAAACAACCCCATTCCTGAACAAATGGGAAGTGCCAGGGGCAAATTTTTCGCAGCATATCATAGCAGAATGTCGCGGCCATCTGTTTCTTAGACACATTTTGCAAATTTTGCAAATCCCAAACGCTCTTCATTCCCCATGCTGAGACCTTCGCTGGGTTGCGGACTGCGGAGTGTTCTCCTCAGGAGAGGTTCTGCTATGTAAACGGCCAAAACCTGTCCATCGTGCGGTTTTGTTGGGATTTTGTGTCTAAAAGAAAGCTATTTGCTCCAGATCTGCCTCTTGAAACTTCGTAAGATAAAACTTTACATTAAATGACACTGAGAGGGCCAGTTGCCTTGGTATTGACGATTTTCGCGTTATTTCCCCCCCCCCCCCAAAAAAATAGCGTTATAGATATTATAAACAATTTCAAAATGATTCTTTGTCTTTATCTTATGATGACCTGCAATTTTTGAAACTGGGTAACCTCTTTCTGTGAGCTTCTGGTCAGTTTTCAATAGTAATGACCGCATTTTCAGCTGCTTTCCAGAGCACGAGTCTGCTGCCCTACGAAGGTCGTTCAAAACGCTGTTAGTCTCGCATGGTTTCGTTCTTCACAAATTTTGGCCACCGTTTTTATCAGATGATCGTCATGTTGTACTCATCCTCGCCGACACTTTGCCATGTGTCATTTCCGACTTAACCATTCCCATTACTCCTGAATCAGAGTTTCTCAGCTGACCCGATTTTGCGACCTCCATTTTCATGTCTGACCCATGGTCAGAGGTGAACCCTTTTTGTGAGCTCATTAAGGGTCGAATGCGCTTGAAAACAATGCGACTGCTGGGGGAAGGTTGTTACCAATGCCCATGCAAAATTTCGACTGTTTATTTCTCGTTGATTCAGAATTATTTACAAAAAAGCATGGCTGGTACCCAGGGCTGCGGAGTCGATGGATTTTACGGTGACTCCGACTCCGACTCCGACTCCGGCTTCAAAAATCGGCTCCGACTCCGACTCCGACTCCGACTCCAACTCCGACTCCGGACGGTTCTATTAAAATCCATATCATGGTATTGAAGTTCATAATGGAGATGTTTTATCTTGCCTGAAACAATCCTTTGTGCGTTCCAAGGCTTTGCGTTGCAAATATGCATTAAAAATAACACGCAGAAATCAGAATTAAAAAGCAGGTTCTGGGGAATTCACCGTTTTCTGCTTCTTTCGCTGAAAACGTGTCCAAAACAGCAAAATGACCTTTTTCGACACAATCTAATTTCGAGCTCAAATATCGTCAATCAAACAGGTGTAGTGCATGACGTTGAGCCATGCAGCGTTCACATCCGACTCCGGAGTCGGGAGGGGAGGGGGAGAGAGAGAGAGAGAGAGAGAGAGAGAGAGAGAGAGAGAGAGAGAGAGAGAGAGAGAGAGAGAGAGAGGAGAGAGAGAGAGAGAGAGAGAGAGAGAGAGAGAGAGAGAGAGAGAGAGAGAGAGAGAGAGAGAGAGAGAGAGAGAGAGAGAGAGAGAGAGAGAGAGAGAGAGAGAGAGAGAGAGAGAGAGAGAGAGAGAGAGAGAGAGAGAGAGAGAGAGAGAGAGAGAGAGAGAGAGAGAGAGAGAGAGAGAGAGAGAGAGAGAGAGAGAGAGAGAGAGAGAGAGAGAGAGAGAGAGAGAGAGAGAGAGAGAGAGAGAGAGAGAGAGAGAGAGAGAGAGAGAGAGAGAGAGAGAGAGAGAGGGATAAATAGAGAGAGAGAGGGATAAATAGATATAGAGAGGGATAAATAGATATAGAGAGGGAAACAGAGGAAGAGAGGGGCAGGAGAAGACAGGGGATATATAGGCTATTTGTCTTCCAAAGTCCACAGGTCAAATCACAATTCCTCTTCTATATTTCCTTTCCCAATATTCCTGGGACAAAATCACTGTTCCTCTTCTATAGTTCCTTTCCCGATGCTCCTCAGAGTCTCCTTGGTTAGCAAAGGCTTATATAATGTCACAAATGTTTGGTACCCTAGCAAAACTTGCTGACATAGTATATTTTGTTTATGCCAATAACAATACTGTTTAACATGATAATAGGAATATGATGTAATTGTAGGCTTAAGATCACTAAGCATCCAAGAAAAAAATATTGTATTGAGGATGTTTTTTGAGGATGCAGTCTGTCATGTAAGGACATGGAAAGTACACCTCAGCTACTAGCTAGCAGGCTTCAGCTTTAAAAGATTCCGACTTCCCAGAGCCATACTCACAGTCACGCGTAGCCAGTAGGGCAGCATAAGTACCATCTTATGTGAATCACAAAGCTGTGTAGCTGTTTATCTACATCCTGTAACATTTATTAAATATTTTGTTTACCTTACTAGCTATGGACAGTAGGTAGGTACCCAACATCTTATTTTTACTCTATTGTGCAAGAGAAAACATTTGAATTGAAACAAAAGATGCCTGGGTGGAAGAGTTCATTCTCAATGTAGCTGCAAATCAATTATTATCATAAAACAGTTCATTAGGTAGGTACTTCTGAAAACTTACACTTAGGCACTCAAATGCAGTTCCAGCTTCATGTTGAAAAGCCATTGTGATAATACAAGGCAACTAGTGAACAGCCTGATGACACAGAAAAAAAAAGCAGAGTTCCAAGCAGAGAACCAAGCTCACTTAATTTATACGGGCCTTTTCCTTAAATTATAACAAAAAAGGTCCCACAAAATACCAACAAAGATACTTTTTATTATCACCGCGCCCTGTGTGTCACATTTGTCAAAAGTGTCAAGGTTTGAGAATTGACCTTAGCCATATATACATAGCAGACCAAGGAGTAATTTGATGATGTCACTAGCTCAGGGACGACTCGTCTGCAATCTCCACCACGCAACAGCTGAGGAGCTTTTTTAGCATACCCCAGCGGGCGATTGCATTTTTGTGTCGACTTTGAGGATCTCGTTCCCGGAGCCGTGTTCGGGCAGCGCATCCTATTGTAAAATTTTGCACCACGCAATAGGTAGGCGGCTGAACGGGGGGGGGGGGGCACCGGGCACCATGTCCCCTGGCATTTTAACATTAACCCTGTGGGCGTTCAGCGTTGCATGGAAAGATGGGACCAAAAGTCGGCAGTGCCCCCCCCCCCCCTCCGCCACCACTGGTTCCCGGCACCTTTGGATGAGCACTCGAGCAGTGTGGACAACGCAGTGCCTAGTTGCTACATTTTGAGTGGAACTCCCTCTCCCCCTTCCCTCCCCCCCCACCGGCCAGGAGCTCCATCACCAAATGGGGGGGGGGGGCTCCGGACCACCTCCCCCGCTGGCCTAATCCTAATTTTATTTTCGTTATGCAGCCTTATGTATAAGAGTATGCATTTTACTTGGGGTCACCCGGCGCCCCTCCCCAATCATGAAATCATGGGGGAGCCGCTGCCCCTGCCCCCACCCTCCGCACTACCGCATAGGCTATTAGGTACCTAGCCCTTGAGCAATTGCCAGACAGCTAGCTGTTTCTGTGTAGACATATACGCAGTGCTTAGTGCATATGCATTATGCATTGCATGCTCATACTTATATGCTTCCTGCAGGCTGTAATACTGGGAGCTCGGCCTCGGCTTTAAGCCATTCCTCCGCCACTCTTTCCCATCGGGCGCGCGCCCGGGCTGCTGGAGTATAGGTACGGCTCGTAAGTGTCACCCCTCCTTGACCCCCACCGTGCTCGGTACTACCCTCCCGGTCTTAGTGCGGCTGATTTCCGCGCATTGCGGTGTTCGATTGTAGGAGTGCGTGTCGCTTATTGCCCATCATATCCTGTCTCTCGCGCGCACATTTGGGTGCCATACCTAAGTCAAATATTTACATTGCAAAAGCTGCTAGTGTGTCAGGCAGCCGGCAGGTGAAACGATAGGATAGAGAGCTAGCACATTCTATATCCAGGGATACTACACGATATGATGCCGATATTACGGCGATTAGACATTGGAATTTTGGAAAAGGAAGCTAAAAGAGAGCTCTAGTTTAATCTCTAATCACGTTTTTTATGTTTTCTAATGAAAAATGACATGAGCTGCCAAAAAAAGTGCAAATGTAAAAGTTAGAATGTCATATAAATTCCCTAGCTTTTTCTTCGTCGGTCGACATAACACGAAATGTGCTGGGCTAATACGTCAGTACCTACTCGCAAAATGTTTTCACGTTTGAGGATAAATGCTTTTACGATAAATTAAAAAGCAAACTTTATACTACAGTAAATATTTCAATTTGTCACAAAAATATTAAAAAGGATAAAATACATGCATGTACAATACAATGAACATGCATGATACCGAGCAGTAGCTGAAAATGACCGTTGGGGCGAGCAATGGACGGCCACCGCGAGATAACCCCGTGTAGTAACGAGCATGGGGCATCTCGAGTGACCTCTGTCCAGTGTCTGTCGCACCGGACCGTGCACAGCACCCTGCACAGTCGGCCGTCCTGCACTCGTCCCACGGCGGCGCCTCCGATTGTTGCCGGTGTGATGACACCATCTAACGAGCGCTAAGTACCGCGGTGTCAGGGACCGCGGTGCATCCTCCGTATCGGCTGGAGCGATTAATTAGCGCCAAGGCTGCAGTTTTACGCTGGAGAGCTGTCAACAAATGCCTCAAATAGTGATTTGTCTTTATTTGACCCTCTGTTCTCATCACATGACCCGTTGATATCTCGCCCATGACCGCGGGAGGTGTGGTCCAAACCGCAGCTCCCTGCGGCGAAATGGGGCGCCCTCTCAAGTTGTCGGCTGCAATTACAGGTGGGGGGTACGTGGCGAGGAGTCCCACGGCGCGCCCCAAGCCGCCCCACGGCGATTTATTCAAATGGTGCAGAGGCTCGCACACATATCGTGCACACATAATGACGAGTTTAGTGAGTACGGAATCAAAGGTCGCGGGAAGTTGCTCGTTAACAGAGTAACGCAGCCGCGTTTTCGGCGTATTTGTTTGTTATGTGTAGGTAGGTATGTACATACTACATATTGTACTGGGAATTGGGATGCTGTGCGGAAATGTGAACCTTATATTAGCCATTTCCTATATCTAATCTACCTATCCCAAACACGAGCAAGGAACCATGTTTACACTATACCACGCAGGCCAGGTGCCGTCTGCGTGGCGCCGGGCGACCATCAGTGGTAAACCTCGATTGTGAATTGAATACGGCCACAAAAATAACCCGTTGCCCGTTACTCCTTCCCCTACCCAACCCGTGGTTGTGAATACGGCCACTGTAGGCTAAACCGTTGACATGAGGTCAAATTCGAGGACCTGATCCAGAAAGAGGGCTAAAAGGACTATCGAATGGAGTATTTTCTTCATTATTTTTGACGCTCTTTCGATTGCCGTTTACAGCGTGTCGCTACGTCGCCCAGGAGCCGAGTTAGACGGGGACGTGAAACACCTCCCTCCCTTCACGGAAATCTCAGACCACCAGCACGGTGCAAGTAAATCTATGGAGAGATCCATTGGAATCAAAGACCCAAGTCTATTTTTTGTTCTTGAGATCCACTGAAATCATAGTTCTTCACTTAGTTTTTTTTTTCAACACAAAAATTTTAAAGACTCAATTGTTGCAACTCGCATAAGTTCTGTTTTAGTAATATATGTGATTGCACGTCTTAAATCTTATTGCATAATTTGTGGCACTTATTGACGTCGAGACACTTGGAAACATGGTTTCAAATGTTGTGCAAAGTGGGGTCCACTCGGATCATATGAACCATGTTCTTGACCTGCATTGTCGGACCCTATGAGCTCAAAGATGCCGGATATAATTTCTCGCGGGATCCGGTGGGATCATAGATCCTAGCTTGCATGCTGCTTCGAGATCCACTGAAAAGATCAGGTATAGCCACTGCGCTAATAGTCCCCCCCCCCTCCCATCAGCATCACCGTCCTCGCCGTCGCCGCCGCCTCTCAGTCCATGACGGTCTTAACATTAGCGGGCAGGATAATTGAGTGTTTTCAAAACACTGCGTAATGCGAAGGACGGAAGTGATCTTCGTAAAACTGGTTTTTCACTAATAGCGATGAGAGGGTCTATTCTACCATGCCGAGCAGCATAATCACTTTGAGACGGGTAGTAGCAGGATATGATGATGAGGATGCGTGCTGCGTAGGTTGTCTATTAGCTCTTACCGTAAGTATATTTATTTGTTTTAAAATACCTTAGCCTTCTTGAGTACCTAGCACTGTTAAAAGATCAACACATGCATTGCGCAATAAAGACTAGAATACAGGTAACAACGACATGATTTATTATCTGGGAGTGAGAAACACCAGACGTGCTAATTATTCAGGCTCTCGTCTGTCCCTCTGAAACACATTTTCAGCCCAGAACGCCTAGGTTCGCTACATAACGCTTTAGTTAACTGAGACGGCGGACGGGGTTTATAGGGAAGCTGCTGCCACGTCCGGGCGCGTCACACCCCGTCACGTCGAGTACGTCCGTGACGTCAGATACGGCCGTGACGTGCGGCCGTTACGAGTGACGTCGTGCCGTCTCGGTGCGTGGCAGTCCTCCGCAGCAGCCTTGGTGTGCGGGAGGCGCCGGATACCGCTGGGCCATGGGATGGGAGCGCCGCCAGAGGCTGGGAGCACGGCCGGCGCACACACGGGGGCGCCCATGAACCCGGCGCCCCGGGCGCTCCGGCGCCGCCCCCTCCGACCCCTGGCCCCCCGGCGGCCGCTATAAAACAGAATACTGTACGGACGGCCCGACAGACACGGAGGGGCCGGGCTCCGAGACAACTGCCGCCCAGACCAGACGAACGCCATGTTGCCAATGGTAAGTCGAGCATTATATTCATCTTTAAGAATAAAATATGACACTATCGCCGATATGTCAATTAATAATGGCACAGGATACATTTGACTCACTTTCTGACAAAGTTGAATTATTGTTCCTTGAAAGGACCACTTAGATTTTTTAGCTAAAACACTGAAAACATGTGCATTGTGCAATGCTTTCAATAGTTGTGTGTATTGTGCAATGCAGATGTTAAATCAGCGATAGAAGTTCAGGTATGAGCTGGACTCGTGCAGCACTGCCGCTCCACCGTCTGACCGTCCTCCATCGGCCTGTTGCAGAGGCTGGCGCTGCTCTGCGGCCTGGTGGCCGCCCTGGTGGTCACTAACGCAGAGGCCAGCGGCGGCGGCTGGGGCTCCGGCGGCTTGCAGTCCTCAGGGGGCTACGGTCGCTCCTCCGGCGGTCACCGCTCGCTCGGCCGATCGTTCGGCGGCGGCCACGGCGGCCACGGCGGCGGCCACGGCGGTGGGTTCGGCTCCGTCAGATCGTTCGGCCGCGGAGGCGGTCGTGGCTACGGCCGCCAGCGCGGCAGGCACGGCCGGCGGCGGGGCGGCGGCATTCTGGGCAGCATCAAGTCCCTGTTCCGAGGACTGTTTGGCGGCGGACGGCGGCGCGGACGCGGCGGCTACGGCCGCGGTGGTTTCGGCGGCGGTCGGCGGCGGGGTCATGGCGGGTTCGGCCGCGGCGGTGGTGGCTACGGCCGACGTGGTGCCTGGTGATCAGCAGGCGGTCACAGCCGCTGTGATCGGCCCGGGACCTGAACTGAGAGGCATTTGGTACGATGGACAGTGCGTCTGATGATATTGGACAAATCACCACTGCATGATCGGTCATTAGTCAGCACAAGACATCCTGTGTCACTCTGAATGAGCAGCAATGAATGCTGAATACCACCCCGTGCGTATTTTGTGCACTGGGAGAAATATGATGATGTACAGGGTTGGGCAGATGAATTGGGACAAAACACATATTTGCATTTAGAACGCCGTAGCTTAGAAATTTGTAAACATAGGCATTTCAAATTTGGATCACATATTGTCACACCAATTTTACACATTTTCACCAAATATGGTCACCGTGGTCCACCTGCATCAGTCCTTATCGGTGCCTGGAATGGCCGCACGCGCGGCGAGATCTCCCGTCTGAAATGGCTCGTAATTGTAGCCAACTGGCACTGCTGAGGCTCACCACAGTCATATGGGGACGTTCGTTAGGCTCACCCGCAAAAACGCCCCAGCAACCAGAACTTGTGTGGGCTGAGGTTTAATGAGGAAGGGGGCATTTTCCCTTGGGTACAGTTTGCGGGATCCTCCGTTTCAGGAGATTTTGTATTTAATTTACTGTATGCCGGGGAGCTGACTCCTCGAAAAGCATCACCCCATGCAGGATGTTGCCTTCTTTCATCTTGTTGATTCGAACTGCCGGAGTAATGGTTACGTACCCTGTAATGGCGAACCCCCTCCCGGTTCCGTAAAATAACGGGGCCCCACGTGACCGTCATGGAAGTCACCGAGTGGAATACCATCACCGATGTCTGCTGCATTCTTTTTGGAACTAAGATCACGTCTTCTGGGCTGGTTGCGATGTTACATGGTGTTTGCGGTTGTTCATTTGTTCGGTTATGGGGATACCGTCGTCGAAAAAGACCTGCACGTGCTTGCTCGCTTCTCCAAGCCCTTCAAGAGGAAACAATTTTTTTTTTAACGTCACAGCTGCTTCAACATCTATGTTGACAGGTTGATATGCATCAATGCATAAGAGCAGGGGGTGTCGAAGTCTAGTAGGAAAATCTGGCAAATTCCCTGCGTGACGTCACGTCGGGGATGACCGACGGCACCTTGCACTGAAAGATACGGCAGAACGGCTATTTTTGAAAAATGATTAAAAATACTTTTGTGCTGTTATGACGCATAAAACGCTTATCAGCATGTTCCTCATCATGTGATAAAGGCATATCCGTGGTCGAAAATAGCTGAGCCCCTCCCAATTTCCAACCACCGACCTCATAAGCAAAGGATGTAAGCGTAATCCTTAAAGGAAATAGTTCACTTTTAACATGGGGTTTTGAACTGAAATAGCAGTCTTGTAGCTTGCGCTGAGACTAGCACAAATCATAAGCTTTTACGGCCCAACGATCACCCTAAGCAAAAATATCCAATTTCCCGTTCCAAAAAGAGTGCCTTACGCAGGAATGTGTGGCTTAGAAAGGAATGCAGTCACATCATCGTCAGCCAATCAGCATGCTGCTTACAGCCAATGCAGCATGCTCAGGTTTGAATTACGCAATGTGATTGGTCAACGCGTAATAAGCTTCCGCGTCAAAACATCATTCTACATAGAATATAGTTCTTCCTATATTAAAATATAGAAAATAATTGTTCTTATAGAAAGGTTTTATTTTATTTTCTGATCATTTTGAGGATAAAAAATCATAAATCCATAGCAAAATACTAATTTCAGAAAAGTGAACTATTTCCTTTAAGGGCGACTTTCCTATACATATCCGTACATATGCGTCCTTATGGAAATCGGTAGTGTGGCGATTGGCGACGCGCGCGACATCTGTGTGGCGACCAAGTGGCGACTGTGGCGACACCTGGTGGCTGCTTTTCTGCTGTATGTAGGCATTGGGGTTTTGCCAGATGTGGTTCCTACTGCTACACCACTATGTTGACCCAATACTAGAAAAGTTATTTTGCTAGTAAAAGGCAAGCAAATTGAAAGTTGATTTATAAAATTGCTTATAAATGATTACGAGATAATAATAAAGAATTTTTGATTGAATAATTATTTAAATAATCAACCGTGAAACTATATTCTGGTAGGTTTAGTAGAAATAAGTCCGTGCAACCTTGTATTTAGGGCCTTGCATAAGAGTACATGTTTGAGGTGCTGGTATATCGCTTTCTCATGGCGCGGCTACCTTCGTTGTAAGCTCGCGCCACTGTTTTCGCGAGGATCCTCTGATTTAACTGAATTTTGCCTTTTAGCGCCCCTGGAGAACCGGGGGAGCGGCCGGTGTCAATGCAATTGGTATGTAAGGATGAGTCAATATCATCTCTTCCTCCAACGTTTACGTATGTTCGATACACACTACTTTCAGCCATTTGATGGAGCATAATTAGAGCATTGGTACGCATGTGCGCGCGAACTAAGTTGATAGTGGCTTGCTTAAGCCCACGTTCTGTGACCAGCCGACTCAAAATTGCAACGCAACCTGCATAACATGGAAACGTATTCATTAGCCTATGTTTATGTTCAAAAATTATATTTATCACTAAAAAAAATAGTCGTTTTAGAGGAAGTTAAAATTTGTCCCAATTTATCTGCCCAACCCTGTATATCGTCGCATACTTGCCAACAAATAAACAATTCAAACTTGCCGCTTTGTGTTTCTTAAGGCTGGACCTAATTGTACGCTCCATGCTTGAATGTGTGCAGAGAGGAAGGCGTGGGGTTACACACCTACACCCTTAACACCTTAACCCTCGGCGGACCCATTGTTTTTCTGCATAGCGCCGGCCGAGGGGGGGGGGCTGGTACGACTCCCCCCTCCTGCCGTTTCGTCCCTAATGGAGCTAAAGCGTCGCGGAAAAAGCGAGTGTGTGCTACGTTACCAGACGCAGCGACTGGTATCCGATTTTAAGGTCTCAGGTCAACCGGTAACCTCTGAGGTCAGTTCAAGTGACCCAAGGCATGGGCTGTTTTTCAGAAATAACTTCACCAAAAAATGGTCGCAGAGCCGCCATTTTGGCATCATCGTGTTCGTCTTGCTCAGGCGCATCGAATGGTATACTTTTTGTTCGGCTGAGGTCAAGTTGAGGTGTTGACCTCGGGTCAAGGTCGGGTCAGCGCCCCCAGATCACGAAGTTGATCGAAGGAAGTCATGTCGCATGTCATTCGATTTGGCAGGTCTTCCTGAGCCCATTGGTGACTTTCCCGACTCGCTAGCACAATTTGATCGGGAGTTAATTACGAAAAACTTAAATGACCAATGTGACGTTATAAATAACGTCACGCAAGGTCAACAATGCAAAAGTGAAGCATTGGACCTTGCAAGGAGTGCAAAACATCACGTTTCCGTTCCGTGCGCTTAACAAAGATTGAAATCATTCTCGGCGCTAAGATAGCAGTTTTCATTTTTCCCAATTGACTTATGGCATGAGGTCACGTGACCGACCTGACCTAATGTGACCTTTAGGAAAAATCCGAGATATACAAGCTGTGAGAATTCTGGATGATAATATATCCTGTAAATTTTATCTCCCTGTGAAAGTTCTTCTGGCACTGAGGGCGTTGCGAAGTTGGGACAGTGAGGACCGTGCAGAGGTTCGCTTATAACGTCATAGTTCAGTGACCTAACATGACCTGAAAATGCGGTTGGTGTCATAAGATGCGGCTTGGATCAAAGGTCAGGTATATCAAGTTTCAGCTCTCTATCTCCGGCGCGTTCGGAGCTATCGCAAAAAAAACTTTGGGGGCGGCGCCCTCCCCCTCCCCCCCCCACTCGGCCCTTGGGTTATGAGGGTTAACCCTCGCCGGCCGAGGGGGGGGGCGAGTGCCGCCCCCCATAGGGTTTTTTCGCGATAGCTCCGAACACCCTGGCGATAGAGAGCTGAAACTTGGCATACCTGACCTTTGATTCAAGCCGGATCTTTTGACACCAACCGCATTTTTGGGTCAGGTCAGGTCACTGACCTATGACGTCATAAGTGAACCTCTGCACGGTCATCAGATGTCGCAACTTCGCAGCGCCCTCACTGCCAGAGGAGATGTTACAGGGAAATGAAACTTGCAGGATCTAGTATCCATTATGAGTCTCACAACTTGTTTATCTCGGATTTTTCCTAAAGGTCATATGAGGTCAGGTCATTTTCGTGACCTCACCATTACCTATAAGTCAATGGGGAAAAACGAAAACTGCTATTCTGGCGCCGGGAACAGGGGCGTCGACACCGGTCCGACTTTTCCGACTAGTCGGACCACTTTTTCGACTAGGCGGTGCCCTGCTGTGGCTCGCGGGAGCCCCTGCTGCAGACCGCGGGGGCCCTACTGCGGCTCGGGGGGCCCTGCTAGAGACCGCGGGGGCCCTGCTGCGCCTCGACACCTGGGGGCCCCCACCGGTGAGGGCCCCCCGAGAAAAAGTCGGACCAGTTTTCCTTACGCGTCGACGCCCCTGGCCGGGAACGATCTCCAACTATCTCAAGCACACATAATCGTGATTTGATGCACTCCTTGCAAGGTAATATGCGTCACTTTTGCAATGTTGACCTTGCGTGACGTCATTTATGACGTCATCAAGGTCATATTAGTTTTTCGTCACTAACTCCCGATCAAATTGAGCTAGCGAGTCGGAAAAGCCACCAATAGACTCAGGAAGACCTGCCGAATCAAACGATATGCAACATGACCTCTTTCGACCAACTTCGTGACCTGGGGGTGCTGACCTGACCTTGACCTGAGGTCAACACCCTGAGTTGACCTGACCCGAACAAAAAGTATATCATTCGACGCGCCTGAGCGAGGCGAACACGATGCTGTCAAAATCGCGGCTCTGCGGCCGTTTTTTGCGAAGTTATTCACCAAAAACTGAACCGTACCTTGGGGCACTTGACCTGACCTCAGAGGTCACCGGTTGACCTAGGACCTTTAAATCGGGTACCATTCTCTGCGTCTCGTAGCGGCGCACACGCTCGTTTTTTCCGTGACGCGCTAGCTCCACCAGGGGCGAAACGGCGAGGGGGGTCGTACCCGCCCCCCCCCCTCGGCCGGCGCGTATGTAAAAAACCAATAGGTCCGGCGAGGGTTAAGCCCTCATACCCCAAGGGCAAATACGGGGCCAATTTTTCCATCAGCTTTATGTTATGTGTTAGATAGCATGCGAAATCCGTTAGTTTGCAA